AAGTGGGCACGAAAACTCGGCCCGGGACAACAAAATTTGGCGGCCGACATCGGCGAGGTCGGGTCACTCGTTGACCTGGCCTCCGAATTCAACGACATATAGATGGACCCGAAAAACTGACTAAAACTCCCTATTGTGTGTATAGTCCCCTATTATAATAGTAATCGGATTTAAAATTTAAATTTAATCATGCGTTTTCCGGCTATATAAGCTTAGGTAGAAATACCTATTCTACAGAAGGGGAGAAATTTTGCCGTTTTTATTGCGACTATGATGAGACTCTGGACATTCTGATTACATTGTATGGCTGTGGAACAAAGATCTGGTTCTTTGTAAGGCTTGGGAAATTTGCCCGACAACTGGAGATGCAGTACACTTCACTCGGCAGCCTAATGGAGTGTCTTGCAGTGCATGGGCAGAATTTGCTTTGTTGCACCCAAGAGGTTGGCGACTCCGTATATCTTCCATACGGGCGAGCTCACTGCGTGGTGACCCTAGGTAATATCTCCCCTGTTGCGTCCCTGTTGTCGGTAGGTCTGAGAGTGCCAAAGGAAAGAACTGATCAAACATGGAAGGCTGTGGCGATGCTTTTGCCTTTAGCAGGTGAGAGGACAAAGAAGTGCAATGAAGGACCCAGATGCACAGATTTCGAACGATAAAGATTTGATGTGAGTTTAAATTGACTTGACTGATTTCATAAGGTTCTCGTAATTTTTCATTTGTTCGAATTCAGTATTTGATGTGCTCCATTTGTTTTTCGACTGTTGGCACTTTCTACGGGGGGATGGAAACTGGGTGATTCAGTGCACCTTTCCTATGAGAGCTATGCAGGGCATCCGCGGTGAAATTTTCGGCTGGTCCTTTCATGAAAAAATTTCGGGTCCCAAAATTGTGCTATCCCTGATCTTAATACGTGGGAGTTTTCTGCATTTTTCGAGATCTCTAGGAAGATGATTTATGCTAGTTAGCCGGCTTCGTATACTTGTCGAGTGGGCGTTGGAAAGGGGATCCGCGGTGAAATTTTCGGCCAGCCGACAGATCACGACTAACTTCAGCCTGCTCCTCTATGGGGAACGTCAGCAGAAAACAGGGCTCAAATGTTGACCTGAACGACACTAGAGAGGAGAGCTTCAGCCAAATTTGAACAGTCACAGACAATCATTGAATTCACAGTCATAAATCATCTTAATGACTGACTGAGTGGCTTACATTAAACATAAATGTATATATTTTGCTTTTCTCTAATAAGAGTCTAATAGTATCTTAAATTCTGGGACAACCCTTTGCGTATATTTGTGTCCCACTTTAATTTAATTGCAAATATAACCAACTTAGTTTAACATAAAAATTATTTTAAAAAACTTTCAAAGCAATGTTGTTTTCAAAAATTTGAAAGCAGCAAACTTCATTTAATAACCGCAGTAAACTTAATAAAGTGTCCAGTTAATTTATTGATATATCTATATAACCACTTGTGCCTTCCCACAATTATACCCGCCAGGAAAGAATCATTAAGTGTAGTTATGTAACAGTGCTAAACACCTATGTTAGTTACTCTGGCCAAATTACCTTAATTGGAGAGAATTAGACGCTTAATAGATTAAATTGTTAACTCCTATTATGCCAATTACGAAATGTTAAAGTATATTTGTTCAAAGTAAACAATAATTAGATCATTAGATCAGTACAAAAAGAGAGTCGGTAACGGTATATTACATTGAGGAAGTCCCAATCCAATTAAATACTATTTAACAAAGAAACTCCCGCGTTCAAACAAAGCTGTGAGAAAAAAATGACTACCGAGTGTCGTATCTGCTTTGAGCAGAAACCAAAATTGCAGATGAGAAATCTTCATGAAAAAGACCAAAACCAAACTTTTCACATAATCTGCATCCAATGCTACCTTTAACTGAGATCACGAGAAGATTTCAGTTGGACAAACTTGCCTGTCCACTGTGTCGAAAAAATGTCCATGTTATAAATTGGCAAAAACGGTATTGCCATCTGTGCATTGAAATATTTTAATGCCATTTGGAGCCCAAATCTTCTGTTTAGGCCAACATCTGATCAAAGGATTCCTCTTCAACCTTCCTTCAAAAATGGAATTGTCCCTTGTCGATGAACTCATTAAATTTGTATGCTTCCCGTTTAATCATTAACTTCATACCATTTGCAAAATTTTTCTGAAACCTAGCAAAAACAATCCCTCAACCAATATGCCAATTATGTTAAGAACACAAATCCACACAACCTCTCCTTCTTATTTGTACAGACTGCGACGAAATACAAAAGGAAAATTTCTTCCAACACGGAAACATTGTCTGCCTCAATTGCCGTACACCAGTCTACACATTGTCATCTTTCTATAAATCACCGTGCCAAATATGCCACGATTGGGCAAAAAATGTACAAGGCGAATCCTGAACTAATTACATCACAAGTTATCGACACTTGACGGATAATGATCCGTCTCACAAAAATTGCAATACATTCTTACCGCGCTCAAAAATAGAGTACCCCATCTGTAAAATCAACTATGACTTCTCCGACCCTTGGAGTTAAATTTTCCAAAAGCAAAGATCTAAAAAACTTTTATGTTTTTTACACAGTTTTGTACCTCTATAATTATTTTCCATTCCTTGTTTATGTTTCACATTAGTTCATTATATGGAAAACCTCTTCCAAGGAGGACCAACGCAACAGCCAACAGAAGAAAACTCTGTAAGCTATAGCTAATCGAAAGCCAAAAATCTTTCTTTTTTTCATCGTGGTGTCAGTTTGTAATACACAGATAATACGACTTAATTTGATACAAAATTAAACCAAAAAAATTGGAAAAGGTATATCCCTCCTTGTTTTTTTAGTCCCTTTTACCACCAAAAAACGGGACCCATGGTAAGCCTGTGGATGACCCCAGCTAGCCATAAAATTGAAATTGGGGGTTAATGATTGCCCAGCTTTCCATTTTTTTAATTTGAAAAACAAACTCTTTACTTTGATTTTATACAACCCTTTAGTATAAATGAATACGACCCAGTATCAAACTGAAATTGTCGAAATGCAGTCCCGGCACCAGAACCGTTAAAAAGATCCAGAACTAGAAGACGTAGAAAGAGCCACACAAATCCAGCCTGAGATTGGTTAATTAAAAATAACTCAGTTTGGAGGTGCAATTGGACTTGATATTTGCACAACTTAGTTAGAGATACCTATAATGAAATTGGAATTTAACACTACCGCCGTCAGAGGAAGAATTCAGTTAAGACGTTGCAAAATGGTTCCCAAAGAAAATGCCAATACTTGAGGGGACGACAGAACTCTAACTATAACTAAAACTCAAATAAACATTATAGAGAATAACAAGCGGCCTACCCTCAGGCAGAACAGTGTGAGCTACTATTAAGAGTAGTTTATTCTCATTAGTTAGAGAGCATTCGATACTGAATGAGAGTCTGGTTGGTTCTCCGAGTTAGAGAATCAGGAATCGCGAAGTTAGGAGATCAGTCAAAGTACCTCAAAGGAATAGTGATCCTTAGCGACACTATTAATTTTAGCAGTTCAGACTGAATGATTGAGCGGAATTACTGCGTCAATTGGTTAATTAGGATTCACTAGAGAGGAGAATTGTTAGCTACGTTAGTTAGAATTTGAATCGCAATTAGGCAATTGTGTTGATTGATCGCGGACCCCTTTCTTAATGATTACATTACCAGATTCTATTCTGGCCGCCTAAAGCCTCCTGTATTTGGGCTAATGTTTTATTTCAATTTCTATTACAGCTAGAATTTCTTGCGATCGGTGATAGCGGACGAGACAGCCACAGGAGAACTATCAAAAGGGGCAGGTAACAGAATACAGTACAGAATAGTTGCCACCAACTTAACTCTTTCGGGATTGTGGATAGTAGTGAATCTCGGTCGCCCCGCTGAAATCATTACCATAGGAACCACTTTGCGATGCCGTTAAGTTAGAGTGTGTGAACAAGCCTAGAGAAGCAATCCCCGAAATCTGCAACTGCAATAAAAATAGACACTGCCCGAAGTTCTACGATAGTACATATTTTCATTTTAATTTTTTATTTGAAAAAGAAATACTTGAATTGCAAAAAACTAGTGACACAACGCACAAGAACCTAAAATTTTCTAGGGGCGCCGTCAGCGCCAGTATATGCTTATTTTGAACGAGATCGCGCGCCGAAAAAAAAACAATTTTTTGGTCAAAATTTTCCAAAGTGCCAAAAACCAGCTGTTTTGACCTGTTTTGCCGCAAATTTTTGATCAAATAGGGTCTTTTATAGTGTTCTGGGAGCGCTCGGAAAAACCACGCGGTCGGCTTTAAAAAAAAGAAACAATATTTTTGAAATTTTCTTGATCATCTCCCCTCAAGAAACTCCTAGATCCGCCCCTAGTTGGTCGGATACTCTTTTTTGCTTTCGCAAAAGAAATCTCTTTACCTCGTGATAACTTTTTAAAAAGGTTCAACAATTCCATATGAAAAACATTTCGAGTCGGAAAAGAGTCAATGAACGCAAGTAATAAAAAAAATTGACTTTCGAATTTCAAATCAACAGGAAAAAATAGATGCCCTTCCCTTAAAGCGCTTTGAATTTCCATGACAATTTATGGTAGGCACATTTTAGATCAATTTACGTTTTTGGTGGCCTTTACTTTTTTCTTGCTGTTCGAAAGTGGAGTACACATTCCTTTTAATAAAGGAAATGAACTAAACTTAAAAAGAAATCAAAAAAATAACACCGCGAAAAAGTAAATTTGAGCCTGGAAAAATTTTCCCGAAAAAAATCATCGCGACCTATATAAGAGTCTCAGCTCCCTTTATCGACTCTTATATTTCACCATCGTACTGAAAGATCTTTTAAATAGCTTTGAGCTGCTACAAAACCCTCGCATATCGAACTTATGCTCTGATTTTTGTTGCCCCAAAACCGAATCGAGGCGCAAGCACGTGAGTACATCACATTTCAGAAATCCAATTAAAATTGATTTTATCATTCAGCTCAAATTGAATTCTGAAAAGATCACGTATATAAAAATAGAACTACAGGAAAGAATGCTTGAGCTATTTAAAATTGGATTTGGACATCACTCTTCTTTGCAAAGCCTCTCGGAGCTTCAGCACTTGGTGGGCGATAAATACTTTTTGATTCGATCGCTTTTCTTTCAACCAATCAACCAACCAACCACCTATCTTCTGATAACTTTCGTCTTCCTGTTTCTTGGGATATAGAGGCACAATCGACCAGTGTATTATGCAACATCTGATTTCACTGACTTGGCCGACACCAATCCTGCTACCAGAAAACAGAATATGGTCCGCCATTTCAAATTTCACGCCAAATCGGACTGCTTGGCTTTTGTTTGTACTATTCAACACGGGAAGCGAATAACCCATTTTTGGGTAATTCGAACTAAGGTTCCGATGAGAAAACCTTGTGATCTGTCAATCAAACACTGCTTATACGAACGACATTCTTTGTCTTCCGCTGTCGTAATCAAGTTCTCTGTCGTCAATATATCCACTGCATGTGTTTTTCTAGTTCCGGGATAATAAAGCTCTTTGGTAGAATTTGTCGAATGCCTCATTCAGAAATCTAGATCATGTTTTCAGTCTTTGTCCCTTCGAAAGTATAGATGGCTTGCTGAGCTGTGAGACTACGCGGTCTGGTCTTGGCGCGACGTTCGACTACTGAGTAATTTTTGTTGCTTTGTTGTATTTCTAGTTCTATTTAATAATATAGTATTAGGATTGATGAATTAATTGTGTGGATACGGTTATGAAATAGCACATTTGTTCGAAGCACCGCTCCTTCCGCCGTTGTGGTGGTGGTGACCCTTTTCCTTTCTGCTCTTCTTCTGAGGTCCTGAGGAGTCTGGGGTGGGCTGGCTGTGGAATATTTTCATCGACGTTTCTCTAATTAGTCGCTCGAATGCCTCTTCCACGTTCAAAGGAGTCTTGGCTGATGTCTCGAAGAAAGGAAACTCAAATTGTCGCCTGAAATAAAATTTAAATATTTTATTTTACGCTGCCTTAAATCACCAAAACGTTATATGAGCAAAAAAAAAACACCGTAAAATAGCTATTTTAACATAAACCTTAAGCTATTCTTTCGTACTAGGTTATTTCGACCAATCATTCATGCATTAAGCTACAATTTTTCAAAAATCTCAGATCAACTTTGGGTCGGATAAGTAACAGAAAAGACCCCAAAACTAACATAGCCAACACCGGACAGCTGGAAAAATGAAGCGAAGAAAAAGAAAAAAGCACCGTAAACCTAAGGGCTATCCGAAAAATTAATGGCTAATCGGTCATAAACGAAGTCATACTTTATTAAATGATTCTTTAAAAACGAGTCACAGTGAAACAAGAACCATGATTTGGTTATTTTGACTATCAGTAAGGAATTGCGACCGTTCTTAAGCAACAGTCCTAAAAAAAGTCGTGTGCTATGATATCGAATTTAGTTACGTGAATCTATCAATGTCGTTTTGCGTCACTTCAAACTGGTCGGCAGGGAGGTCGACTTTGTTGCCCACAATGACACATGCGATGTGAGGGTGGATGGGTTCGGCTGAGTTGTCCAACAGGTCCTTACTCCTCGCCACCCGCGTGAACATGGTCTGCAGTTCGTGTAGGGACTCCTTGTTGCACAAGTCAAACACAGCCAGGAAACCGTGTCCACTTTGGTAATACTGAAACAGACGACACGTCAACACTCATTTTTTGATCAGAATGATGGAATAGACCGATCATCAGAGAGTCACATTTTTGGATTTAAGGTGGGTCTGTTTTGAGTTCATAATCAGTCAACTTGTGACTATTTCTAGGGGCCGGAAAGATTTTGCTTCTGACTTCAATTGAGATACATTAGAAAAAACATATGCCTGGCATCACATCAAAAACCAACCATTTGAGTCAAGTTTCATACGTAAAAACCACTTTCTTTTATAGTTAATATCAAATTATTTTGCAATACCCTTGCTTATCGCAAGGGTGAAGAAATATCCTTCTGGGTCCTTACAAAGTTAATTACACTGACCACATTTGCTTAACGTCGGGCATCAAATTTTTCACACATTTAAGCACAAAAAACAGTGTCAAAATACTAATTAATCTAAAAAGCATCGGTTTGCGAACAATTGAGGTGCTCGAGGTCAGCGATTTCGCAAAACACCTGGTATTTTAAAAAATCCTACCTGTTCGACTAAATACTGGAACTCCTCCTGTCCAGCTGTATCTATGATCTGCAGTGCCCATGGCTTCCCATCTACCACTCTTTGTGTGAAACTTGTATCTTCTAGTGTCGGCTCGTGGTTCTCGTCAAAACTATGGCTGATGTACTGCATCATCAGACAACTCTTGCCCACTCCCTCTCGCCCGATCAGCACCAGTTTCATTTCCTGTTGTTTCTTCACGCCCCCACTAGCGCCACCAATCGCCCCATTGGCACTATTTTTGTGCTCCCCCATCGCAGGACGAGATTTCCTGATTCCGGGAAAACTTGAAAATTCCCTTGTTTTGATTATATTTTAGTTTATGTCCAAATCTTAGGTACGAGGATGTATTACTTTCAAAACTCGGTTCGAGTCCTGTAAAATTGATTTGCGACTCTTTTGTTGCGATATCGATTCTGATTCGTCAAGTTGTTTTAGGAGCTGTTTTCAGTGAAATGATTAAGTCACTTAGGCTATCAAATCAACTGGACTTCGATTGAACCTTTGTCTTGAGGCTGTACTTGCATGGGAGTCCAGATTCTAGGCACTGTTCAAACAAGATCTGAAGCTTCTAATCGTTCAGGGCATCAGCCAAATTAGGATATGAGGGTGCTTTCGAATTAGTGTGCGTCCTAAAATGGTTCGAGGCTTCTGAGTAGTATATGTAAGATATATGTATCTAGGCGTTACTTTTCAGTCTGGAAGGGTTGGCTTGTAACTCGAATGTCAAAGTCTGAACTCTGATGCAAATGACGAATCGTTGGTCACTTGGGTTTTGCCACGTCCAAAATGGAAACCAGGCAAATACAGAAATGATTGGGTTATTTTTGAACTGTTCTCAAAAGAGGTTTGAATTTTGACGATGTAGCTGCTTGCTATTGTGTCAATATTTCCGATGAAAGGGTCAACATCAAAACTGCTAGCAGCAATTGAGGCCTAATTTTGAGTGACTCATTTCTATATTTGCACACGCATTTATCTAAAAGCAAAACTCACAGTGAGGCAAGCAAAATTACCAAGCGCTTCAATCCACAATCAAGGTCTGACTCTATTTATATTAAATAGAGTTGGTATGAAAAAGTGAAAATGACTCACTAAATACTGGGGTTTGATTTGAGGACTTGTGGGTTTAATTTAGGGCTTCACAGTCAAGAAAAATCGGAACACATCTAGGCAAGTCAAGACACGATTGCTCCAAATAATGACGTTCGAATCCTTGAAATAAATAATCGGATTTGAAATAAAATTTATAATAATGTTTTTAGATGGCATGATCAAACAAGTAATCGTGACTTAACGATTTGTTTTAAATGCAAAGATTGTTCGAAGTATCAGCAATGCTTGCGTGTTCAAACCTGGATGAAAAACAAATTTAAGCGTTTTCTAGGCGCGCACAAAGTCTTCGTGAGTTCATTAATTACTATCTTCAGTTTCACAATACTGCAAACAATAGTTGAACTGTCTCAAAAATCACGAGGTCCCGTCAAAGTCAACACTAATTTGAAGCCACAATTGAAAGACAGAAACGACCTTTCAAAGTAAACATTGAAACGTGGCCTAAGACCGTTTGATCCAATCAACTAGTTAGAAGGGTCCACCTAGATACACCTAGAAAGTCATCTACTGACTGCGATCTTGATCATTAGGAACTCTGGGGTGATATGTCAAACTAGCAAAAACTGCAGAAAAGCATGAGATACCGAGAAATTACACTTTGATTGGCAGTTCTTATCATAAAGAAACCATAAAGAAACTATTGACCAACTAACTTTAACCCGGCGGCTAAATCATAACAAATTCAAGGGGAGAAAATTGGGACCTGTTCCATCACAGTCTCCTCTAGCCTAGTAACAAAAACCTGTAGTACCCCTCGGTGTATTGACGTATAACGAAAAAATCGTATAACGTATATTCCGACTATCGTATAACGTACATTTTTGCTTTCGAATAAAAAACGAACTATACATTTTTTATACGAAAGCCAAAGTTGAAGTCAAAATCCTAACTGAATTACAGCAAGTTTTTTTAGATTTGGCTGCTTTTATTGTTTTTGCTGCTCGGTTACATTTTTTTCCGGACAATCTTTGATTGTTATGAAAAAACATTTAATTTTGGACTTGAGCCGCCCCTAATATTAATCAATCTTACAGTATTCAATGAAAAAACCCTTGTCTCACAAAAAAATGGTTGCCAATTATCGTTTTTGTATAATCGCATAATTTATCGTATAATCCTATAATCTTATATCGTATACGGTTTTTTTTCGTATAATTTATTGTATATCGTATAACGATGCTATAATTTGATGGTGGATAGAATGGGATGACCCGAAAAATAAAGAGAGATCAAGGAAAGCGATGCAGAGAGGAAATAGAAATCAAAAACAATACAAAGCAAATAAACAAAATAACAAGGATACCCGGCTATTGTGCAAGTAGCACAGAATGTTCCGACCATAGACTAAGTACAAAAAAAAAAGTTTTTTTTTTTCAAATAAGTGTAGTTTTTTTCGGCGAGGTGTGAAGAAACGATCAAAACGAAAAAATGAAATTAGGAATATTCGACAGTCACAGTAAAAATGGCAAATTGGACAACACTTTTGATGAAAGATGACTAAAAAAAATTATTTAAAAAAAAATCAAATAATTTTCAATTTGTGAAGCTTTTAATTGCCAAATGGCGATTCAAAAATATTCCACAAACAACTTCACTTGAACAAAACTAAGATTTAACGGCCTGAAACAAGCAAAACCAAGCTATTGTAAGCCTACTCGATCGCATTATATGCTCGAATTTAGACTAAAAATCAAAAAATGTAAACCTGTTTCTCTCGATACTGGGACAACTTTTTGGAAAGTTATTTAGAGTAATTCGAAGCACGATTGAAAGGGCTTGAATATGATATATCACTCAATCCGTTCCCATAAATAATTATGGCACCTGATTATGCGAGGAAAACACACAAAAAAAACTATAACACACCCGAACTCGAGGTTCCTCCCCAAATTTCAATTGATCGGGAAAAAAAACCAGAAGGAATCATGCAGTTGATTCCATAAACCGGATTCATAAGCGCAAATTTGATTGGTCGGAACCGGTATAACCCGAGATAGTTTTTTCGGGAGAAGCAATAAATAACAGCTCAGAAAAAAAACAAAGAAAAAACAAGCCTGGTAAGTTGGTTTTTCACCGCAAAGATTGTTCTTTTCCTTCGCTCTACATTGCTATGAAAAAATTCCAGTTAAGTTTTAAACGAATCAGGAAACTTAAGAAAATATTGCAAATTTAAGCTCTTAACAAGATATCTCATTCGCACAAAAAAATCATCACCAACGAGCAGTAGCAAAAGTTTCGACGACCTCAAGAAACACACAAAAACATAGCCAAAACACAGTAGAAAAGAGTGATTGAACGCCACGAAAATAAAAAAAGGATGGATTATTTTTTGAAAAAAAAAACAACTTAAAAAATCAACTTAAAAATAAAACAACGAAATTTGGGACAACTGGAGAGTTAGGTAAATTCCATATTTCGCTAGAAATCTATGAAAAAAATTCCACTTTCGAAACCAGAAATCGACCACGTTTTTTTGCGCTATATTTTCGTAAATCAAGAGCGTATTTTGCCAGCCTTCCAGCAAATGAACTATAATTCTATAAAAAAAATTAAATTTAGTTTTTAATGACACTGAAAATTTTTTAAAAATTATTTAACAACTCGAATAGCAAACTTTAACGAGATATCTCATTCGACACTATAGAAGAGTCGACAAACTCAAGAAAACCAAAAAAGAAACAGATAGAAAGTGAATATAAAACACAGGAAAAGCAAGCCACTAAAACTTAAAAAATTCAAAATGTTGTCTGGAATCCTGTTCTTTTCTGTAAAATCGTCCAGAAACACAATCGACAGCAATTAGTAAAAAATGAAAAGTAAATAAGCAGAAATTGAATCGACAAAACTTAATTATTTTCCCGTAGAACCGGAAAAACAATTGTTGTCAAGCAAAACTTTGAACTATAAATTCTTTCTCTGAAAATTTTAGCATTTCTTTCGATCCGAAACAAAGCATTTAACTTACGCATCCCTTAAAACGACCCCAAATTAGGTCGCTAAGCCGATAAAATAAAAGCTGGAATCAATTAAATCGAATACTATTTTTAAGCGACAAAAAAACACCAAATTATATGAAGCCAAGACTAGTGAAATTACAAATTGCAAGAGTAATTCAAAACACTCAGAGCAACTGCATTAAAAATTGCGTATAAAAAATCAATTGGACAACGTGGCAAATAAGCCGACAAAGCATAACAAGAGAAACAATAAGCCGATATTTTCCGATAGTATTTTCCGAGTTTTTCCAGTTTGAAAATGAAGTTACTGGTCCGTTTCGAACCCACAAACTTTACCGTCCCAAGCGTACTCTCCCCCTCCGGGCTATGAACCAAGACAAAAAGGATTCAGTTAAACAAATTGTTAACCTGAAAAAGGTCTATAATCAGATTTGATAATGCTTGCTAATCGCAAGCGTAATAAATACAACTAGCGTTTAACGCACCTCCGGTGCTTCGAATTTTTTCGTCAACTCATGAAAAACCGCATATATTGGGAACAAGATCTGCAAACTTTTAGTGTACTCGGACTGCACTCAATTACAGAGTTGGTAATTTCAAAACTTTATTTTTTTTAATTACCATTTTGAAAAATTATAAACAAGAAATTGGCCTCTGGAGAAATTTTTAGGCCAGATTTGCAGCCACTGAGAGTCCTTGAGAGCACCCTACTATAGAGTTGAAAATTTATACCTGTTTCCCGTAAAAAATTGAAAAAAAAAATCATAAAAAACTTCTTATCTCGGAAACTAAAAGGATTTGAGCATACATATTTAGATGCAAGATTTGAGTCGCATGTAGCAAGATTTGTAACTCTGACAGCACTCAACTACAAAAATAGGTATTTCAAAATATTTTAAAAAAGCATTATTTAAATTTTCGAAATTTTTTCAAAAATAAACACAAAAAACGTGTATCTCGAAAACTACAAGGATTTGAACAGTCATATTTAGAGGCAAGATTTGCAACTCCTTAGAGTACTCTGACAGCACCCAATTACAGGGTCAGGAATTTCAAGATTTGTTTCCGAAAATTTTTTGAAATCACAAAAAAACGTCATATCTCGAAAACTACAAGGATTTGAGCAATCATATTTGGAGGCAAGGTTCGGAACCCCCTGAGAGTACTCCGATAGCCCCCAACAACAGGGTTGCGAATATCGAAGTTTGAAAACAAAAATTAATTTGAGTTTTTTGAAAAATTATCAAAAAAATCGCAAAAAAAACATATCTCGAAAACTACAAGAATTTGAGCTCTTAAAATTGGAGGCAAGGTTCGCCATACCTGAGAGTACTCTGATAGCCCCCAACTATAGGGTTAGGACTTCACAAAAAAACGTCATATCTCGAAAACTACGAGGATTTGAGCAGTCTTGTTTGGAGGCAAGACTTGCAATCCTTGAGAGTACTCTAACAGGACCCAACTACAGGGTTAGGAATTTCAGATTTTGATTTGAAAAAAAATTAATTTAAGTTTTCTGAATTTTTTATTTGAAAAAATCACAAAAAACGTCATATTTCGAAAATTACACGGATTTGAACAGTCATATTTGGAGGTAAGATTTGGAGCTCCTTTGAGAACCCTGACAGCACCCAACTACAGGGTTGGGAATTTCAAATTTTGAGAAATAATTATTTTATTTTTTCCAAAAAAAAATTGAAAAAATCACAAAAAACATATCTCAAAAACTACAAGCATTTGAGCAGTCGGATTTTGAGGCAAGATTCGTAATCCTTGATCGTACACTGACAGGATCTAACTTCAGGGTTGGGAATTTCAAATTTCGAAAAATAATTATTTTGAGTTTACTGAAAATTTTTGAAAAAAATCACAAGAAACGTCATATCTCCAAAACTACAAGGAATTGAGCAGTCATATTTGGAGGCAAGATTCGCAATCGTTGAGAGTACTCTGAAAAAGCTCAACTACCAGGTGGAGAATTTCAGGTTTTGCAAAAAAAATTAATATAAGTTTTCTGAAATTTTTTTTAAAAAAATCACAAAAAATCGTCATATCTCGAAAACTACGAAGATTTGAGCAGTTATATTTGGAGGCAAGATTCCTAATCATTGCGAGTACTCTGATAGGACCCAACTACCGGACTGACAATTTCAGATTTTGCTAAAGAAATTAATATAATTTTTCTAAAAAATTTTTGAAAAAATCACAAAAATCGTCTAATCTCGTTAACTAAAAGGATTTGGGCATTCAAAATTGGAGGCCAAATTTGCAACCTATTGGGGAATCCGGACAGCATCCCATTATTGGGCTGCTTATTTTAAACTCGATGGAATAACCACTGAATTCAAACTGGAAAATCGAAAAAAAAATCTTAAAAAATCAATATACGATATAGGTTAAACATGGAAAAATAATACGTTGAAAAAGCTCAAACATGGCGAGATAAGGAATCCCGCATTTAAATATATAATAGATAATATGTGTGAAAGCACTTTTATAGAATGTTAAAGCATTATATGACTTTTCCTAAAAAACGAAAAAAATCATCACAACCTATATGAGGGTCTGAACTACATACACCGACTCTAAGAATTTGAATGTTAAACAAGCATCGAAAAAAAACCTAAAAGAACAAAACCGACAGACGCACGTTCTTGAGCAGACATACACTGAGCCGAAAAAAAAAACATAGTATAAAAAAGAATCAGCTCGTGGCCGGTATTGAGCCCATTACATTTGTCCTCGCAAGCACGATCGTTACCTCCAAACTGAACAGGCCAAATTGATATCTCTAACCTGATTCACAAATGAAGTAAAGTTAGCAAATTAACACTCAAACCATATAATCTTATTTGCTAACGGTTGCTAATCGCAAGCGTAATAATCACAGCTGGTCGAACAAAAAATTAACAAAGGTTCCGACCTAAGTTAATGAACGAAGTTAAGCGCAGAAATATGATTTTTTTTTCAATTTTTATTTTGTGAAATTTATTTCTGAAAGCTTAAGAGGGTGAGTTAGATTTTTGAAAAAAAAATCTCATAAGAGTTCAACCGTTATCATTTAATGCCAACAAAACTTGAAAGAAAATACTGGGAAAAGAAGCCGACAGAAACATAGCCGACTGACCTCGGTGCCTATACAGAAAACTTTCTATACAAATAAAAAAATACTTTGCAATGATTAACGGTCACCGGCAACTATTACCGTCCAATAATACATATACAGTTAATGTACTCCATCAACTCTATCAACTCAGCGGTTATAAAATTTACCATTTGACCATTCTGTGAACAAAATTATTAACGGGAAAAATCTAGTACCAGTTTGCAATATTCTTGCTTATCGCAAGAGTAAAAATGCGAAAAATCAAATTGGAGCGTGACAAACTTTTAGAGTTTCCCTAAAAAACCATCACGAGCAATATAAAAGTCTTCTCTACACTATCGACTCTTGAACATTGAATCCATTTTCAAACCTAAAAATCACTCGCGTCGTTTCGAGCAATTTCCGCTTTCTTAATTTGCCCTCCTTTTGACCAAATTATTTGAATTTTAAAAAAGATTTTAGAAAGAAATTAGAAGATCGAATTCTGCGTGATCAAATTTTCAGCCTGATCGATTTCGGTGTAATCGAATTCGGCCTTAAAAATCATTGCGACCTATCTAAGTGTCTTCGCTACCTTCATTGACAACTTTAACATGATACCAAATTTTGCAAAGTTCCTTTCTTTCTCTATTAAGGCCAAGTTGGTCGCGTCGGGCTCGTCTGTCACCCTGCCCAGCAACCTTGCACTTTCCACAAGTGACAGCTAAAAAACTCAGGGCGGGTATTCGTGGAATTTCTAAGACTCGTTCCGAAAAAAGGGTACTCTTGCGAAATCGTTCGCCCTCGACATGAACTTCGTATATGTGAGGCAAAAATCAGATGACTTTCCTCTACGGAAGCTATGACATAGAAGCTGACAGAAAATACTTTTTTCATAACTGATACGGCCCTAAACTGTGTAAATTCGTTGCGCTGAATTCGTTTATAATCGAAAAATAACCGAGTGCCTGGTTCCAATTAACTTACTGATCGCAAATGTAAACAGTCTCAGTTTAACTGTATCAAACGCGTATCATTTTGTATTTGACAGGTAAGGTAAGACAGATAAATTAAGCTATACATATCATCAATTTATCTAAAACTAGAAGTTGTCAAATGAAATGATACCCTTCATTGCAAGGGAAATAAATTCAAATTACTCCATACAAATTATCCGCCTATAATTCATTATTCAAAACAATTGAGCAAATACTTGATTAGTGTCGACAGTAGCTGCTCTTTTCAGTCACATCAAGGAGTTAAGGCTCGTCGACGGGATATTATATTCCCTCACTCAGACAAATTTCAGCACCATTACTCTCACCAGTAAATCGCTGGAAGGCTGGCACTTTCCATAAAACTTCCACATCTGGATTCTACACCCGGCTCGATGTAGCGCCGAAAAAATGATCTGTTTAACAAATCGATTCGAAGCAGTTACAAATATAACCAATTACGAAACTATGAGTCCAAAATCTTGTTGCTATCAAAAAAAACACGTGGTGTTGGTGAAAAGTGCCACAGGATTTTTTCAGATCGGATAGATAGTTTAAACAAAGAAGCTGAGGTCTTTAATTGATATAATGTTCACTCATTCAGTGTGAAAAATGGTAGTTTTGATCAACTTAGCAGCAATCCATTAAAATTAAGCTCCGGTGAAACAACAGACCTTGAACTGGCATAAATTAATTAAATAAATTGATAAACTAATTCAAACCTTGATTCAATAACAGCTCGGATATGAGTAGAAACACTTTGAGAATTGATGTTTTTCAGAATTTCAAACTTCAAATTGAGAGTCGTGCTGATAAATTTGTAACGAGGGCAGCCAAAGTTCCAGAAATTGCACCAAAATTTCTATGTACAAAATTTAAAACAAAAAAAATAGATCGAAACTTCATCACAGATGCGAATCTCTGCTTCGCACAAACAAGCGAAACAAAATGCAGAGGAAACAAACTAAACACGAAAAAAAAACATTTTGCGTTTAACATTTAGAGGCTCAATCCCATTCAAAAAGCGTAAGACTGATGCTTCAAACATTGGTTTTTACCTCGAGAACTTGCATATTTTAATGACTTTTTTGAGAAATAGACAAAATAAGCACAGTGGCGATTCTTTTCCAAAGTTTTGTAATGACACATTTCGCAAAATTTTCAATGCTTAGCAAAATTCAGTTGCTCAAAAAATGCTTGAAAAATTCCCTCTTATTGAATTGCATCGCATCGCTTGTGAAAATAGCTCCAATAAAATCATGAAATAAGAACAGTAGAGTGATTGAAGTAACAATGGAAAAATTTCCCGTAATCCACATGCACAGTCGATGCTGGGTGCGTAGATACTTCCCTCGTTCAGTGGGTATTCTATGAATTAACAAAATCAGTCTTCTTTTCAGCTTACATCGCTGTTAAATTGATAAATCAACGTATCTATGAGCCCGGTAGTCGAATACTACACTTACAATTTCGTCATTGACGTTTTGATTTGAAAACTATTTTCTCTTTTTGATTTTTCGAACCAACCAAGCACGTGACTGATTCCCGCTTTTTTGCAGGTTGGCCACGTTCTCTTGCCATTTGCCTTGACTTCTTTTCTTCCCAGTAAAAAGGTAGCGGTTTTTTCTCTTCTTTAATGGCGTCTACAAGACAGTGCACTTGTGTTTGCGCGGTTCCCCCGTCCTGTTGCCTTTCGAATTGCGAGATGACTTTGCCTTTCTAATCTCCCTCACTAGTGTGTAGAAAGCATCGTCAACGCCCACTCTCGTTTTGGCAGATGTCTCCACGTAGGGTATTGAAAACTGCTTGGCCAACATTGAGGCCCTTTCATAGTCCACGTCTCTCGTGGGCAGGTCTTGTTTGTTGCCTACCAGCACTGTGGGCACGTCGTCTGCGTCCTTCACTCTCCGGATCTGATCCCGGTAGATTGAAACTGACTCAAACGAGGGGTAGTTGTCCAGGGCAAACATCACTAGGAAGCCCTCTCCTGTTCTCATGTACTAGACACGAAATAAAGAAATGCATGAAGCCAGCGAATTATTATGATTGAGTACTGATTGAGAAAAATCTGACTCCGTGAGTACAAGAAAACATTTGGCAGAATATTATAATAGAGAGGTAAAGCAGAGGCTCGAACAACTAGAGATACGACGCAAACTTAACAAAGCAAACTAGCCGACATAAGCCGAGACGAAAGCCCCGAAAGTCGAAAAAATATATCGAGAATTCGACGCAAACCCCAATTCTTAGAAGAAATAATTCGTCGCAATTATGAATAAGTGACAATTCGTCGCAAATCAAAAAAAATTTATCTGTTTACTAGTTCCGTTAAAACTTCAATAACGGATCCCTCGCCCGCTAGATCAAGGCCGTTTGATAGCTGAGCGCAATATTTCAAATCAATTTATTTCTATTTTCTATTTGTTAAGGTAAATTGATCTGCGACGAATGGTTGTTTCGAAATGCTAACAATGGTCATCTATGACCAATTGTCGCCACACGGAAAAATATTCAATAAGCTACCAAGCGCATCGGGGTATCTACCCAAGTGCGAGGAAGGTTGTCTCGATTTGTCTTGCGAAAAGTTAATTTAAAGAAAGACAAGTAAGAACATTTAAATGTTAAGATGGGATCGGAACAAAACTTTTGCAGCGGCAACAAAGCCGAAATTCTGTTATCAAAAATGTATTCTCAAAACAAACGAAACGCACGCACGCATAAAAATTCTCATCAAACAATGCAATACGAGGCCACTAAGCCAATTTAACAAAAGCTGAAACCTTGTACGCCAAAAAAAAAGAAATCAAATTACACCAAATTTGTCCGCTGGCTGACAAAATTACAGATTCAGAAAAATCAGATGATAAAGCGATTCCATGATTTAGTTAGACAAGTAGTTAGCCTGAAAATAGTCTATATTCCTTATAGTAAAACGTCTCTGCCTTGGCGCTTCTATGAAACCAATATCTCGGCCTCGAGAGCGACCAGAACTACCAGTGATTCAAAAAAATCTAATCGAGGTTTAACAAATCCAATCCAGGTTCAAGGAATTTAATTTCAGAAAAACTAAAAACCACTTGTTGGGAAATTTACATGAATACTTTTTGTCACTATATGGTGATTGGACTTGAACTTGAACAGACCTGATCTCGCATGGCCGAGTACTCCTCCTGACCGGCAGTGTCTAGAATATCGAGTACACACGTCTCCCCGTCAATCACTACTTGCTTGAGGTAGCTATCTTCTATCGTGGGGTCATACTCGTCCACGAAATGGTGCTGGATAAACTGGATAGTGAGGGCACTTTTGCCCACTCCTCCACTCCCAACCACCACTAACTTGTACTCCACTGTCATAGTATGCTACACTACACTACTATTGTAGCAATCACTCAAGGTCAACTAGATATTATAACTAATACAAGTTGAGAAAAGAATAGAAGTTCATAAAATATAGAGAGTCCAGGTAACAAGGGGAATCAAGATAATAGTGAGAGCCCAGGAAAGATAATATTCCACGAGTTCTAGATTGATTTCAAAGAGATCAAACACGAGATATAAGACAGACTATTTTAGGAGTGATAATAACTAATTATATGTCTATGTCTCCGTTCTGTAATAACTTTGAGATATGATTGAAGTTGACCCTGTTGAATAATGTTTGGATAGTACACCAAAGGCGATCCGCACTTTTTGCTACTTCTTGTGTATCAATAACACTTCAAACGTGTTCGTCTCTTTTCGGTTTTTTACGTAACTATATTGGGGCTAATTAATGAGCAACAGACGAGTGGATTGTAGATAGAGTATCTGTATTGCAAATAATATTCAAACTGTTTTGAAATCAACAGAATACTTTTGTCATTCTAAAACCAAAAAATAGCCATAAACCACTGTCCATTCTCAAGATTTAAATAGTAGCACACACATGGTTTTAGTTTGTTTTTAATATAGTATTATTGATTCCCTTAATACGATTTTCAAGTAGGGGGAAAAGTGAGTGCGCCTTCAAATTGAGTCTTCCTCCATCTGAGAGATATGAATGGTAGGAAAGAACATTGGTTGTTTGTTGTTCTTTCTCTTCAGACGCAATTTACAGCTAGCTTTTCTGTTTGCGTGTATTACCACCACCACCACAAGCCAGGCAAAAAAAGCGCAATAAGAGAGTTAATAAATGAATGGAGGATCTAAAAATAGTCTTGTTTTGCTACCATCTCATATCGCTACCAGAGCTACAAAAGTAGTCAAATTGAGCAGGAAATAGAAATAGACGTTAACAACGGCTCAACCAATTGCACGCTGCAGGTTTTGAAAGGTAACAGCAAAAACTGCGCGATATTAAACGCAACGCTGTCAGGGTTATATTGTTATTGGCGTATGGTTTTATTTTTTATAAACAATTCTTTGAAAAGGTAAACAATTTAGCAACATGTACCGCAGACACATGTACAATAAATAATTGGCATAGGAAAGAAACTCTTTTGAAACGAGGTATGCAAAAATTTTCAAAAAAAAAAAACACTTGATTGCACTTCTTTGATTATCGCAAGGGTAAAAAGTGGGAAACGAATGATGGTAACGTTCCTTGATAGGAGGTAATAGCAGGAACTATCGTTTTCAAATCAGAAATATGACGAAACCATTTTCATCTGAAACATTTATCGTAACAAGAATGACCTCCGACTCAAAAAAATTCCACAGAATATTCCGACAAATATCTTTGCAAAACATAAAAAAAAATCTTTTATGTCCAAAAAATGAAATTAGTCGCCTTGCTTTTTCTCGAAACTGAAATAGACCATGACAGCACATCGAAAGTTATTTAATTTGCTTAACAAACCAGATAAATTACAGGTTAATACACTAAAATTAAATACCAGTTAGCAATGAACGCGATTTAATCACGCAGAAAAAAGTTGGAAAAAAAAGACTTTAAGCAGTACGCAGAATCACCAGCTCACTTCGGGGGACCCCCCTCTGAGGAATTCAACCCCCTGCCGTACCAAAGGGTCCCCCTTTCTACTAGTTTGAGATGTCTTTTTTTGGCTGGCTGACTGACCCTAAAAATTTTTTTAATGGCGCCAAATATACTAACTTTGAGGGGGGAGCACGCGCCGAAAAAACGCGATTTATTGGTCAACATTTTCCAAAAAGTGCCTGAAAACGCCTTTTTTGGCCTGTTTTTTTTTCGATAATTTGCCTGCGGCGCAGGAAAATTTGATTAAATTGGGGTCTTTATAGTAATTTTGGAAAGCTCAAATCAATTTTTTTTTGAAAATCCGCCCCCGCCCCTTCGAGAAAATCCTAGATCCGCCCCTGCGCAGAATTACTGAAATAAAGTTGAACATAGAAATAGAACTCGCTTATATACCAACAGTTCACTTTACATGTAATAATTCTCATTTTTTTAAGAAGCCCCCGGCGCAGCTCCTACCATTCAATCTTGGGCCTTTGCTTTAAATGCCTCGCGCCTACCAACTCAGCCACGGCTGCTGTAATAACTCTCATTATGTCGTCTTAATGTCATGTCGTCTTAATGTCTTGTCGTCATATCAACTTAGCACCCATTAGTTGAGGTTGGAAAAATGAATTTAAAAAAAAATATAATTAAAGCGTTGGAAACTCGAAGAAACCGGCAAAAAATAAATCACATAATTGTGAACATTTTCCTCTGAATTTCAAAATTTTTAGCCTATTTCTCAGAAAGCCAAGTTTTGAGCAGATGTGAAGGTTGTCATTTTTTTCCGGAGCTAATTCGACTGATTTATAATTCGACTAAAAACTTTGAAGCAAAAATAAATTCAGTTTAAGATGTTGAACTAGAGATTTCTGAGCGGAATAAGTAAAAAAACCCAACTTTTATGAAAATTAAAATCTAATTTTGAAAAGTTAATCATGTTTTTTGCGCCATTTGCTATGAGATCGTGATTTATGGTCCCTATGGCAAATGAACTGAAAAACAACCGAAAGTCAAACCGCGAAAATGAAATTTCAATGTGAACAAAAAACTAAACAGAAACTAAACAAGGATAGGCGGTTACTGTGCAAAAAAAAAACAAAGTTCCGACCAGTCTTGAAATAAAAAAATGAACTTTTTTTTCAATTTAGTGTCGTTCTTTTCTTTGCGGTGTGAGAGATAAAAAGATCTGAAAAAAAAACAACTCAAATTAGACATATTCGACAATCATCGTCAAATAGGCTAATTGCAAAACAGTTTTTGAAGAAAAATGACTAGAAAAACGAAAAATCGTTTAAAAAAATCAACAATTTTGTAAAAACAATTTGATTTGAGTTTTTTCCTGAATTCTTTGGACTTTTCGATTCCCAAAGCGGCGCTAAAAAACTCCAAAAACTAAGTTAACTCGAGTAAAACTAAGTTTTCACGGCTTAAACTTATCTTAAATAAGCTAATGTAAGCCTGCACTCTAACCTTATTAGCTCGAAATCAGACCAAAAATCAAAACTTTTCGTACCGGTTTCTCTCAACACTCGGAAAAATGTTTATTATGACATATAAGGCCTTTAATATGATATATAACTCGACCCATATTGATGATTATTTGTGGTACCTGATTTTTCGCGGAAAGCGAAAAAAACTGAGACACCCGAATACGAACTTCCTCCACATTTTTCAAATGATCGCAACAATAAGTGTCTTAATTTAAATCATTACACTTAACAAATGACAAAGAACACCTCAAAAAACATTTGATTCGAATTTAGCTCAAACTATTAGCTCTAATAAACAATAAAAAAAAAATCGTTTAACTTTTTTAGAAAAATTCATTATTATTAGTGAATTACATCTATTCAATCTTGGGACCATGTTAACGTCTTCCCCCCAAGCTATTTAGGATGAAAGATATTAATGGTTCTGAGTTCAAAATTTTAGCCAATCAGAATTGAACATTTTACATGCAGCTCTAAATAAAATTAAATTATCAAATTGATCGCTGGGGGAGAGGAAGACCTTAACTTGGTCTATTTGGAGATGGGGGGGGGGGGGGGGTGGGGAGTTTGCAATCTTCCAACACACTTTTCAAATTGCCTTTTTTAAATTAACGAACCTAACAAAAAACGAAACCCTATTAGATCGAAATTAGACAAAAAATCAAAATTTTTCGTACCGGTTTTTCTCAACACTCAAAAAAATGTTGCAACATTTTAGTCTGCGCTAAAAAAACATATATACTTTGCACCCTATAGATGATGAGACTGAACCTAAAATATACCAAATTTTCACAAAAAAACCCAAATCTACAGCCTGAATTCTTCTCAGTGAAGCAAGAAGAACTCCAAGATTGAAATTTCACCTCAGTTTTAATGGAAATAATTTTTACATGTATAGTTAAATTATCTTATTTCAAAAAAAATCAATACAAAACTTATTGTGTTCAACCAAAACATAGCCAAAGGGCAGTTGGAAAATAGCCAATGAATGCAATTGAACAGCAGAAAAATAGCATTAACTTTCCAATTTCAAAGAAAAAATATCTGGCCTTAAAGCTCTTTAAATTTCAAGAAAAATTTATGATTGAATCTTTTTTGATAAATTCAACCCAATTTGAGACACAGACGCGAAGCTGCGCTTCACAAACACTAGCGAGAAAACGACAAAAATCAGCTCTATAAATTGCAAAAAATAGTAAAAACAAGCTTGAAGTAGTTAAAAATCGGTTAGGTCTCGGATTCGATCTGCGACCTACGGCGACCAAGAGAATATGAGTCTCACGCACTAAACACTCAGCCACGAACGCTTAAAAATCACAAACAATAGCCTCAAGTAAAGATTAAAGCAGAGAACATGCTATGAAATTTCCAATGATACAGATCGTGATTATAGAAAAAGTTCCGCCAAATAATTAAAAATTTGTCACCAAATAATGAACACTTTCACTTGCGAGTTATGTTAGGAATAATACACTCGCAAGTGTAAAAACTGGATCAATAACCTAATTTTTTTACATCGCTGATAAATCGGAAAACATAATTCCACATCGCTGGGAAATCAGAAAACTAAATTCCACTTTCGAACCTAGATTTCGGTCACGTTTAATATGACCTTTGCAATTTTGTTGTTCGTTTTAGAGTAGAAAATGAAGAAAATGTAAGAAAATGTAGTGAATTAAAAAGGAATCAAAAATCAAACCGCGAAAAAAATTAATTTAAGCTTGAACAAAATTGAAAACTTGCGAAAATGAAGAAAAAAATCACGACCTATGTAAAAGTCTGACTACGTTCATCGATTCTTAAAACAGAGTTTGAAAACATGCGGTCAACAACACTTAAGAACTTTGAGTAATGATTTGCTGGGGGGAAACTATGACAGGAACGAAAGTTCAAACACAAGCGCAACCGCACTTCGCAAAAAAAAATAAGATTCGTTTTTTGAGCGGCATATGAGTATTTGTTCCGGATAGGATAGTGTCAGTTTCAGGGGCGTATAAGTCAAGCAGCGAAGTTTGGATACTCCGAGGGGGGTGATGAGATAAATACCTAAGAAAATAGCTGATTTGATTGAACGAAAATTCGGAAGGCGAACTGCGACGCAGGCAGATTGTAGTGTTCCACATTTTAAACTTTACACTCTGAAAAAAGTGTTCTTTAACCCTCATCTTTGTACGCCCTGCTAACAGGTAAAGAGCGGCAATTTCAACTGGTTTGCTTGAAGATATTTATTTACTGGCAGCATGGGACTAGGCAGGGCTCGCATAATCTAAAACTGGTCTTAGGAAAGCTTTTAAAAGCATTCAAGCGTCTTTGAACTAGCCTGGATGTTCTTTTGCAATGTTCTGTGAAAATTAAGGACAGGTCAAAAAAGACACTAATATTTTTTGGGATACTTCTAGAGGAGCAGTCTAGCGTTGTTCAATTCCACATTCGGATCGGTGTTCAAATCATTATGAGGAAAAAAAAGCTGGCTGAGCCTTTAGAAGATTGAAAAACAAAGTACCTCGAAGTAAACAAAATTGTGTAACTGGATAAAAATGATGAGGTCGTTGAAATGTTGTTGGACTGGACAAAAGGGGTGAACGTGGTTTACATAAGACAGTTTTACATCGCGAGCGATAATGGAGCGTTATGGACGTAAGAAATTTAATGTGTCCGGGATAAGACTGAGTTTTGGATATTTGCCTCCACGAACAATCCTAGATTTTGACAAGGAACATAGTTTTTGATTGACGCCCACGCAGATAATTTGCTAGCCATTTAATTAGGCTTTCCAGTACGCTGGTGTCATAAAGGAGAGCCAGGATGGAGCAATGACTGACCAAGTCAAAAGCTTTTCATTAATTAAGTGTGACCAGGACTGACCATTTTGAGGACTTTGTTGGTTAAAAGCGTCTATGGTAAAAAATGGAAAGTGATGTGGTGTTTGAATGCATCGAGACAAAGCCTCTTTGATGTTCGGCCTCGGGTAGAAATTTGGTTAGTATGCTAAAACTTTAACAGCTGTCTTAAAATCGACACAGCAGTACGAGTTTGAAGATTAGATATAATCTCAATTTTCGTTAAAGGAAAGAGGAAGATTAGGACTGTTTAATTTAAAAAAACGCTTTTGCAATCGATCTAGTATGTTTGAGATGGACTGTCTATAGACCATGCGGTCCTATTTCTTTAGAGATTACGACTCACTGTGATTAGAAGTCTAAAGAATTCTCGTCAAATCTTTTCTCTGTCTTAAAAAGTTTTAACAACGATCTCTTTGTTTAAACAATTTAAAGAAAGGTCGAATGAGTGTCAAATTCAGATTTGAACTCTTTGCTGGATATTGGAGTAACAAAGAGGGGAATGGGCACTAGCGTCACCGATGATGATATTGGTTTCACCAGATAAAGGAGCTGTAAAAAGGCAAAAAAAGAGCTGTAAAAAGGAATTTGTGATACGAAGATTTTGGTTGCTGGCCTTCACTTGTACGCCTTGCTCCTATAAAACACCATCATCCACTATTTCTAGTGCCTCGCTCTACATCATAACCATAAAAGAAATTGAGGGATGTGACAATATCATCCTCTAAGAAATTGCCCTGGGATAGAGAAGTGTATGCACTCTGCCATTTTTCCGTGGAAAAATTTAGGGTTACAAAGAAGTCCTGTGGTTCCCTGAACCTTTTGAGGAAAAAATCCCTGCAAACAATGCGATCTGAAAAAAACCTCTCGGATACCAGACTTTTCTCGTTATTTGAAAAAATAATTTCTGCCTAACAAAATGCTCAATAATATCAAGCAATCTGAATAGAAACCTGACAGCAAAAAATTGAGATATGACAAGGAAATACGATTGGCATCAAGAAGTCCACCTCCCTCTTGAGTAAGGTCTTTCAATAAGTTTAAGAAATTGGGCCCAGCGAGTCAGTGCAATTTTTCAGGTTCAACATCTTATCTTGGAAAACCGCGATGGGGATCTGGTACCCACACAGTAAGGCTGCAATTTTGGGAGCTCCCATGACGCAAATTTGGAGTCATGACGAAAATTTGGAGTTTGATCGGTTACGAGGGGAGGTAAGATCACTGGGCGGGAATTAGCTGTTGAAGAGGGGCTATTGCGGACTGGCGAGTAAGGCTAATATAGTTAGTCACAAAAGGAAGAAGTGTATAATATTCAGTACAAGAGGGGTAATAAAAATCTCGGTTGTGCTCTTCAAACTTTTAAACTTAAAATGGATCCAACCACATACGTGGCACCAGACATTGGCTTGAGTTCGTAAAAATTTGTGTTTGCATAGGGAGCAGGAATAGTGACCAGGGTTAATGCCGGCAAAAAGGAGAGGGATTAAATTCTATAGACAAAGCGACCAAACTAGGAAGCTCTGAAAGTTAACACCCGGAAAGAGCATGCTTTCCGCGCTCCCCTTTGTGAGGAGGGTATGGTAGTGCCATTGGCGGCTTAATAAACAGCGCGTCGGGTCCACCACTTGATGGCGACACTTCTGGACCCGCACTGCCCTCCTGGTCTTGAACTTGCAATATACAAAATGTTAGCAAAGTTGAAAAGATGTTTAAGGGGAAAAAGTTCTAGCTCTCAATTAAATGACATTTGCACTTGCACAATTTAAAACATCAAAAAAATCAGACTTACCTAGAATTTTTATACGTTTGTCTCAAACAACGTTTATAGTGAGGGAAACGCAACACGAAAAAAAAGAAGTACTAGCCAGTGTTGAAATAGAACTGAAACAAAAATAACAAAGCCGATAACACTTAGCAGACACTCGTTGTGTCAAAATGTCATAAACAAAAATATTTTGACACAAAGTAAATGCGCTCATCAAAAACAGAAAACTGTTATCACCCATCAAATGATAAAATGGAAGGTGAATTAGCCGATATAACATCAGCCTAAAAGGCCTTTGAAGGAAAAAATTGAAAGTATACGAAATCGGAGTTGGTTAATTTACGAAAAACGTAATATAGAACACTCACGAATAAACTGTGAATAGAACTAGTGTTTAAAAATCAGACATGCTCAAAATACGTCTGTTGGCAGTTGAAGTCTCAGAAAGGATGTGTCCCGTGAAAACCTTTCAATGGAAAAAAAACTAGCACCCTTTGTTAATCAAAATGGTAACCAAGGCTAGATCGCGCTAATAATTCATTTAATAGCTAAGACTCCATAGCTATTACAACATTTAGTCTAACACTGATTCTCATTATATCATAGACCCAACTGACCACTTATGTTTTCGCTCAAAGAACAAATAAGAAAAAATTCTCGATAATTTTACTTCATTTACTCTATTTAATAATATTTAGGCTACCTACATAAAAAGACAATTTTTCAATGGCACGGAAAATTAATCATGCAACATTAAGGGGAGAAAAACCTTTAAACAAACACGATTAGTGATCAGAGACTTCGTTATTACCCAATGCTAACTTTGACTCAGTCGTAGGCAGCAACGAATGCTCAATTAAGAACCGTTCCACGTCTACTGCAAATATTTCCTCTCCAAGCTCGTGAATTAGTTGAACAAACGTGCCGATTTGCTCCTTATTTTTGTACACCAGCAAGGCAGGTGTGGCATCACTTCTGAACTTATCACTTAGCCCCGCCTCCAGACCCGATATTGCACAGAACTTCACTTTTACATACATGCTGGCTAGTATTTTCATACTATTATACATCATATCACATTCTTTGGAATTGACTGGGTCATGAACAAGAACAATTATTGTGGTCAGCTGATGCTCGTCATCGATGTTCGAAACGAAATCGTTTGCTACTAAATCAATTACTTTCCCAAAATTTGGCACACTCTGCAGCAACGTTTCCATTTCATTCATACGCTGTAATTTGTACTCCTCGAATATTGCATTCAGCTCCTGTAAATAGACAGCTTCTCAGATGATGGTTTAGCAGAATATTAAATCAGCTACCATTTAACTACTAGCGACTATTCTTCAAACGCATAGAGAGGTTAAACCCTTCAGTTACGCTGAAAACTCACAACAATAAACAGGAAATTCTTATATGATTGGTCAAACTGATCTCATCTGTGATAAATTATCCTCAAAAATTGACACGATGAGAGCATAAATTGTTCACGTGTTACAGTGAACCTGCTTATATTTCTAGGATTAATTTAATGCTGAGAACAAACTGATGTTAAAACTACCCTTAAAAAAGAATCGTTTTGGATCTACCAGACAGGAAGTTCAAGCCCGTTTCTTGAACCCCTCCCATACATTTTTTTCTTCAAACTTTGTAGAGCTTCTCTTGAAATCGCAGCTCCAAATTTGATTTCAAAAAAATTGAGCCAATGAAATTGTGTATCGTCGATTGCATCAATAACATCCTGTGAGTAATTTAACTTGGTTCATAGTAAACCCAAGTCTTCAAAATTGACCAAAACAAACAGATGGCGTGAATCTATCTGAACAACAACTCACTTGCATTTCTGGGTCCAACTCCTCCTCTACTGAGTCAACTCGTGGTGCACATGTCATTGCGATACGCTTACTCAACGACATCAGTTCGCGCTTCTGTTCTTCTCGCCGTTCGGTCTCCAGCTGTTTAAAACGCCTGAAAAGCGAATATAACTATTCGCTACAATTATTACATATGGGTCCAAAAATATAGATGCATGCCTTAAAATATATAGGACTTTCATTTTGGAGAGAAAAGCCCACTGCTATTTGCGTAAAGGGAAAATAATCAGAAAAATCTTTTCCAAAAAAAAACGTAATTTTATAACTAAAACTATCTATTCAACGGAGTGCGGTCAAAATGTAGACAACCTTTATTTGATGCCGGTCAAATACCATATTAATTAATCAGAAATGAGAACAGAACGCAAACTCCGGAAATGAATAATTTGTGACATTCGATCAGAATGGCGGTCAAAATGCATGACGAAATCGAAATTTTATTGGAACAGTTTAGTGGGAGGATTGGCTGTTCCAGAAGATTAACGGTCTTATTTGATAAACTGATCGAATTGAGAGGGTTCGGTTTTAACTGACATGTGAAAAATTCGATTGTAAAGACACGTGACCTTTTTTATTTTCGCGAATACAGAAAAAGCGCGAAAATCATCAGAACAACGATTTTCGCTAGTCGAGAACAGACCTACGACACTAATTGAAATCACGATCAATATTATTGTTGGAAGAACATTCGGAATGTACGGATTGTGCTGCTACAATCGTTACGGAGCAATTCCCGAGAATTCGGAGGGGTATCGGGAGAATTTTACTACCCTTCCCGAGTGACGATAGGACTGCTCTTCGTCTGGATTCAAGAATCCGGAAGGATCTCTGGAAGAAACTGTATTTTAACAACTTTTAGCTTCCTGGCATGTCCTGAGTTGAACTTAATTAACATCTAATTCACTTTTCAGAGTATGAGAAACTAGGAGTTGAGGGAAAGGGTTGATCCATCTCGGATGGATATGATGATTTTTATCTACTGAACAAAAACAATAGTGATATGATAATAAGTAGTAGCCCAGCCCTGTTTTTAGGAGTGACCTCGTGGTCTGGGGATACTGCGACCCAGCCATGAACTCACTATTTTTGCATGTAACTAAGTTAATTTGCGCGATCTGGCCGAAGCCTTAAATAGTAATGTCTTTGTCGACCCAATGTTAATGGACCACCCATAGATTTGGCTTTGGTAGAGACGGTTAAAAGCATTAGAAACTGTGTTCAGACGCTAGCCAGTCGTTTCATAACCTAGCTTTATTTTCCGTCGGTATGTACTTCCGGGCGAATGGTACAATTAATGTAAAAAAATCCTAAGTTTGCATCTGGTTCTCGTTTCTGATTGTTGTCTACTTTATGACTTTTATACTTTTTGCTGGCTAACCCTATTAACCTATATCCAAAGCACCTCCTGAAAACTGACGCATCCGTTATTAAACTGGAACCAATGAGCTCCAAACTGTTACCTGTAATCTTCGATGACTCCTTTTGGCCCAGTTGCTGATGTTCTACTGTAATCAACGGCGGGTTGCTCGGGTTGCATCACTTCTTGTTGCTGAACAGGACCTGAAGACCTTCCACCATAATTGTATTCAGGATGCTCGTCATCGTTGAATTTAGTCTCCTCTTCCTCATCTTCGCTACTACTTATGTAATTATTGACTTGCTCTCCCAGAAGTTTGTCGTCGAGATCTAAGGCCATTCTCGAGCGGTCGTTCAGTTTGGCAGTCTGAACTTTGTAAGCAAAGCGTCAACAACAAATTTTTGACATCTAGAAAACCCATATAGCTTGTTTTAAAGAGTTAACGTTGACAGCAAAAAATGCAAGATCTCTTCGTCAATACTGAAACCTCGCTTAAAACATGATACACGGAAGAAAATTTACAGGAGCAAGGCTATCGGTCACTCTTTTTTAGAAATTGATTTTGTTGAAAAATCTCATTAGTGTCAAATGAAGAACATGCATTCTAGATTCACGATCTTTTACAGAGCCCAATGTTCTTCCTTTATAAAATTTGGAGATAGAGGCAATGATAAGCTTTAAATTAACTTTCCTTCATCAAAAACTATTGGCAGGTAAAGCATCCAGTTTTCATTTTTTGTGGCCTCCTCATTTTCCACAATTAATTTTCTCATTTTAGTTATTTTTTTCTTTTTTACTGTTTTTTCTTTCATTCTATAAGGGTAATTGTGCGGCAGGAAAATATTGACAAAAAATTTAGGTCAGGACGCATTCCAACGTAATTGCATCGGTCAAATTTGGAAGACCATTTCGATAGCCATATTTAACCATTTTTATATAAATTTGGTGCTACTCTTGAAACATTCGTTGATTTGTGGTTGATTTGAAGGGCACTCGTGGAGTTGATTTTTGTTAACTATGAGAATTTATAGATATGCAGTCTGCAGACTCTCAAGCAAGATAAAAAATATCTCCAAATTTTAACATCCAATCGCTACGAAGAGCAAGGATGTGTTCGCTTCGAAGAACAAAATTTTACTACGCATAAAATTTTGTCGAACCGATGTTATGAGAACATTCAATTGGCTATAGTAGACTGTTAAAAGCACGTGTGAAGCTATATTTAGATGTTAGCCAATCGTTTTAAGATTCTAGCTTTACTTTCCGTCGATGTACTTCCGTGCGAAGGTTACATAAGTTAAAAACGCCCATATGTATATATAATTGCCGCTTCAGCGTTGTTGGTGGGGAGACTATTTAATTTGACGAGAGATGACATCAAACATAGGTAGTTTCGTTTCTATGAGCAGGTAGTCTATATGTTGGATCAGACCAACATATAGACTCTCAAGCAAGATAAAAAAATCTCCAAATTTTAACATCCAGTCGCTACGAAGAGCAAGGATGTGTTCGCTTCGAAGAACAAAATTTTATTACGCATAAAATTTTGTCGAACCGATGTTATGAGAACATTCAATTGGCTATAGTAGACTGTTAAAAGCACGTGTGAAGCTATATTTAGATGTTAGCCAATCGTTTTAAGATTCTAGCTTTACTTTCCGTCGAAGTACTTCCGTGCGAAGGTTACATAAGTTAAAAACGCCCATATGTATATATAATTGCCGCTTCAGCGTTGTTGGTGGGGAGACTATTTAATTTGACGAGAGATGACATCAAACATAGGTAGTTTCGTTTCTATGAGCATAGTCCTCTTCATAGCTCATTATGTTGACAGTTGGCTATGTCACTTGAATGTTGAGCACTCGGTTTTAATCGAAATTAATTATTCTGTAGCACGTGATCAGCAATAGGCCCAACCTCACTCTACGTATGGTAATTTTCAAACTATTTGACACTATTTCCCGCAGCCACAGAAATCAAACTTCCTAGGTACTGGGTGCCCTTTTTAGCAAGAAAAATTTTCGATGCTCTAACGTCACTTAAAAATTAGGAAAACTAAATTACAAAAGAGGCCCTTCCGTTTAGTTATGGCAAGTGCACAAGCTGGATAGGGCCATCACAGCGTTATAAAAATGCATATAAATCAGCAAACTGTATCATTTCATCAATGAAGTAATAAATCAGTCAGAGGGGAGCCGAGTTGTCTTCTCGATGCCGCCAATTCTCTTCATCCAAATTTGCAGTTCACTCTAGAGAAAACTAATTCGGAGGGGAATTTGCCGTTCCTGGATTTGAACATAAATGTATCGCAGGGTAGGCGTGAAACTTGCAGTTGGTATGAAAAACCAACAGATACAGGGACTATACTGAACTATAGAAGCTGCGCCCCAACTCAGTATAAGCGTAGTGTTACCCAAGGCACTGTACACAGGGTTTTTAGGAGTACATCTAGCTGGGAGCAATTTGATAAGGCTATGGAAACTAATAGGGCGCAATGGCTGACAAATCAGTACCCTGAAAATTGGTCCGCAAAGGTGCCTTCAGACGCCTTGTGCAAGATCATCGAAGGTAGAGGCAAGCCCCTGGATAGTGACAGGGGTTTGTCAGTTCAATCACCAAAGGATAGTGAGCCCCTAATGCTGATGGTGCAATATAGAGGTAACCAGAGCCAATATTTTGCTAACAGGTTACGAAAATTAACTAACGTTCAAGTGGTTTTCACCACAAGAAAACTACAATCATGTTTACCATCTATGAAGTCAGCATTTTCTTGTGCCATTCTGCCAGATGACACAGCATAACCTTCCCGCGACAGAAAAAAAAGTGACTAAAGGCCTTATGAACAAAAAAGTGTTGCGACGGAGGGTCAGAATGTTCTAGAATTTTTATTTTTAAAATTTCGATTGGAAGAAGAACATTTCTGAGAAATAGAAAAAAGACGGCCATTTTGAATTAAAAAGACGAAAATCAGAACCACGATATAGATTGTGAAGAACAGTTGTATCAGAGACAGAAAAACACGGAGCCTCTTATCGTGGCAAGAACACACGATAAGGACCTTAGCGACAGATATTTGTGGAGACGGAGGCTTCAGTGGGGGGAAGAGAAATACCACGGAACCCTCCCGGGACACGAAATATAGGAGATAAGAGTGTTATCTCAAGAAAATCACGGGAGCGGAGGCTTGGTCCCCCAGAGACTGTTATATGTGAAGGGACTGTGAAAACTGACTATAACAGCTGCTGTAATGTCCTAGATCTTAATTAACACCGTCATTATTTAATATTTCAGAGCATGAGTAGATAGAAAAAGGAAAGGGTCAATCCATCTCCAATGGATTTAATATAAAGCTGTCACACAAAAACATAATAAAATAGATTGTTCGAGCCGTGTTTTTAATGACAATCACGTAGTCTGAGGATCCGAGACTCAGCTATGTGGTTGTGTTCGCATGCAAACGAAAGCTGATCAAAAGTCGTTTGACTGATGGCCTAAAAATGGTAACTTTTTACTTTGCCCTAAACAGACCAGAAAATCAACTGGCAAGGTCGAGACGGTGAAAAACGAGTAGAATTAAGGTAACTGACGCCTGCCAGTCGTTGATAGGTACTTTTTCTACGCTCCGTCGCTGTGTGATATTTGGGCGAATGTTACATAGACGTTTTTATGGCGCTCCTGGGTGGGCCTGTTAGAGGCATGAAACCATCATGATTAGCAAGCGTTTCAGCGACGTACCCTCCGCTCCGGGCGTAAGCCCGAGTTAGAGGCCTTAATGACCGTTGTTGTACTAGGGGGAAGGTGCGTACTCTCCGTCTAGTGCAATTTTAGCTTTTTAACTTAGTTAACACCGAAAATTCCGGGGGCCGGAGGGTTAGGTGGGAAATCTAGAGCCCGCTTGTCCTGAGGTCCCAGGACCAAAAACAATTAAAGAGAAAGCGTAAAACCAAACAAAAATAGTGTATAACCAAGAAAAAGCCGAAAACAAATTTATTTAAAAACAAAAAAGTACAAAAAACAGTAAGAAAATCCAAAAAAGACCAAAAACAGTAAAAAAACATAAAGTGACAGTTTATATGTTATTTCCGGACGAGATGTGATCTGACCTTCCTATTTGTTGTTGTTTCAGATTGATTTATATCGTTTCTGATAGAGAGATTGTGTGTTTTGGTGAAGGGTTGGGTACCCTCCCTCGAGTGTAATTTGAGTGTTTAAGCACGTTAATGGTGATTTTGCCGGTGACCGGAGGGTAGAGTGGCAAGCTGATCAACGTGTTCCACACTCAACAGGGACATCAAGGACAACATCCACAACGACTGTTGGGTATCGTTGAAGCAATTTTAGTATCGTTCGGGTACTATTTCCTTAAAACTTAAGTGGTGGGGGGCACGATTGGCGCGGTCCGATTGTACCCTCCATCGATTACAAATTTCCGAGTTAAGGGTCTTAGTTCGGATATTTTGGTGCAAAGGAGGGTATAGTACTATTTATTAACGACTATTTATAGATTATTGTCCTTACTATATATTACTTATCTCCTATTTAGACCCAAGAAACACCCATTTTTTGTCGAAAATTACCAATTTTCGACCAAACTGTAGACCCCCAAATTTTCGGATATCCGAGCTTTTCCGATAGGCAAAAAGCTTTTATATAGAGAGTAGCCACGTAGTTCGATCCCCTTTATTAAAGAAACCGCGTGAGCAAAGATTCACTGGAAGTTAGAAAAACGAGAATTTTTCGACCAAAATTTTGATAATTTTCTGTATTTTGTCAATCTGTTTTGGGGATCGAGTTTTTGAGTTTTTAGAGTTAGAGCAATAAAATTTTTTGCGTTAGGAGCGTGCTAGCATAACGTGCTCGGTTACTAGAGAAATTTTTGGGTAACCCTCCGAGTAGCTCCGTGGATAGAGCTAACGACTTAAGGTTTGGAAAAGGAAGGAATCGGAGGGTCCAAATTTGATAGTTTTTGGCCAAATTTTTGATTCTAAACCAATTTTGGTCCGGTTTTTTGCATTATTCCAGTGCCGTACAGGGCTACTACGCTCATTTCAAGTATTTTTAGGCACTTTCGACCGGAATTGCGGAAAAAGTCTTTCAGATCCTATACAGGTGGTGAAAAAGGCCATTTTGACGAACGCGTTTTTGGCGATTTCTCAAAGACTAGTTATCCGATCGGGATAATTTTGGTACCATAAGTCGATGTTTTTGACCACTTTTCCGAATCGCAACCGTTTTTGGGTTGATTATTTCGGAAAAGAAATTTTTTTTAGAATTTGTTGGTTCGGAGGGTCCAAGTAACGAGCAACCCTCCGAGCGGCAGAAAATTTTATCAAAACATCTTTTTATTCAACTGGGAAGGTTGACCGTGTCAGCCAACCTAGTTTTAAGTCAGGTAGACCGCTTTCAGAGGCTTTACTGCGGTGATTTAACCCTTTTTCTTGATTT